TATTCAAGGCAGGACAGTCACAGGGTCCCCAATTGCCTTGACCTGTCCACCTCCCTGCATGGGCAGGAGATTGGCCCGACACGCATCCACATGACATGTGACCTCTCCAGCATAGTCTCCTTTCTCCAGAAACGTTCAACAGTCAAAATCAACGTTTTGAGAGCTGGCCGCCAGCAAGCCAGCAAGCAGATGGGTCAACGCCTGTCAAAAGCGAAGGGTCCACAAGGTAATATTTAGTAGTCTATGTAACAGGATAATATGGTGTCCAATTTGGAAATACTTGGAAAGAAACAGTCAGAACACTACCAAAATTGGACGGGGCGATTTGGTAATCAATGGAACTTTTGGATTTCATTATCTCCAAAGTCGACTGTAGTCGTGCTCTATCTTATGTCAACATTTCAGACGGAACTGTCCAAATTATTTGTTCATCGCTTAGTACACCATCCAAGTTAAGAACAGAAAAATTAACAGATACTAGAGTCAGCTATGGAATTATGAATTCGCAAGAGTAAACGCGTAAAACAACGCCTTTACTACATTCCTACTTGAGCCCCCATCCATACTACGCCGAAAAAAAAATTTGAAACGGAGATTTCACTCTAAAAGCGCATCAACACTACTCCGCAGAAATTTGAAAACGTAACAATCACCGCTCATTTTGGAAACCACATGCCGGATTATCGTGACGTCATCGTTTTGGAAATGCTCCGCTTTCAAAATGTTTTCCGTCCACACGAAAGCACAAAACCGGCGTTTTCAAATTGCTTCGGTTTGAAAAGCTTCTTAGAAAAGCTCCGTTTTTGGCAGATTAGTGTGGACGGTAGGCCTAACCGTCGGAATTAATCTGCATTTCTAATGTTTTCGGCGTAGTGTGGACCCTGCCTGAAGCAGACGAAAGCGTAGCCAACAAGAACGTCACAAAACAAAAGGTTTAATTAGCAGAACAATGGTTTTGCACGAGCATTTGAAATCTTGGCTCATTTGTCAACACGTACAACAACGTGAAATGGCCAAGTTCTCTGTGTTTATCGCTGTTATTACATATTTAGCCTGAGAAAATTTTAAGATCGATAGGCGTAATGAACAAAACAATACAATTGCGACATTCGATGGAAGGTAAAATGTAAATCCATTTTTTAATTACTAGGCTTTCAACCTTCAGTATGTTCTTAGCATATCTAGTCAAAGGGCCTAGGAAACGATAATGCTTAACTGCTGTATATAGAGCTTCCAGTTTTGATTGACGCGATGATACCTACTGGAAGGTTTCTAAATAAACTATAGCCTCCAACTGGAACGAAAATATGCTCGGATTTGTCCGCGGACATAAAGCTTATCTGTTCCGAGAAGCGAAATATGTGAGCTCTGAGGAAAAGATAATGTCCAAGGAAAAATATCCGAGCGTATTTTCGCGCCAAATGGAGGCTATTGTGTTTGTGTCCTTCAAATATTTTTTTTTGCAACGCGTGTCATTTTAAAAATTGGGGAATATCACTCGGATATTCCCCAGTTCTAGTTGGGGCACATTCATTTACGTGACGCGTTTAGACCAATCGCGCGCGAGTGAAAATATTTGACAGATTATAAGTGTCAATTATACCATTTGCAAGAGCGAAAGGGGATATTCAGTCCTACCAAATTCTGTTAACCCCGTAGATTTATAACGCAAGTGAAATAGTTGAGGGAACAAGTTTATATTATAACAAACCAGCTAAGTTTGTAATACTGTAAAAGTTCGTTTTCTGGAAGCTGCC